GCCCGGACGCGGCTCCAAACGCGCTGCGAGCCGAGCAGGCCAAGGGGTGTTCGGAAGCACCACCGCCCGCCTGCGTTCACTTCCAGCCCTTAACAATACCACGGGCACGGGAAAGGCTCCGTTTCCACACACGGCACTTCCAAAAGCGGTTGTCTACGCACTTCACAGATCTGCCAGAGTCTTATTTTTCAAAACATCATACTTGACTGGTCCATAATTGGCAAGGACAGCATCGACAGCCTCATCACCGACCCCATCATCCTGCTGCCGTTGCCATCAGAAGCCGTGCCTGAACGCAGCTGATACTTAATGCGAGTTTAAGGCGCTGGGAAGCTAATGACTGAACTTACGCTTCAAGGCAAACGACTGGAAATTTGCACAAATTTCTAAGTGCGCAAAACACAGCTTCCCTTCCAGCCAGGTTTCTACACAGACTGGCATTTTATCAAAGACACAACTAGAAAAAAACTGAACATTGCCTGTTAAGAAGTGCGTGCTTTTAAGAATACCAATACCTGCAATTTATTGTAAACATTCATTAACAGTTCTAGGCATGCAACAGACAAGCAGCATTCAAAATTTTGCTAAGTTTGGCCTCACATCACCTGCTTCCACAGCAGAGCATTACGACAGATGAAGCCCATGTGTACTCAACCATACACATTTCAAAAGCAGTTGGTTTTTTGTTTTTTTTTGGGGGGGGGGGTTGGTTTGTGGGTTTTTTTAACAGGGAAAAATGAGCAAAATTATCTCAACTGAAAGTCAATTTCAATGTGCCAACAGCATTAGGACAAAAATTAGTACCAAAACAATGACATTCTGAAAATTTCCAAATATACCTGGCACTGTGATGCACAAAACCAGCTGTGCCTTTTAGAGTATTACTCATAATAACAAGCCATTACCAAAGCCAGTGCAACAAATGTTTCAGTTTCACATTTAGCGGAAACCCAAGTGTCTCTCTGAACATCCCAGACCCATCTGCTGGCAACCTAAAGGAAAGAAAATAAAAAGCTATTTGTGAATCTATAAACCGCACTGTTTTTATACTTTTTAAAAGAACACACAGCAATATATAAATACTAACATAATTGCATTATGAGAGTTAGAAATAGTAACAACAACCGCAAAATTACAGAGAAAATGAACAAGTCCTATTCAATGTTAAAACACACATTCTTGGTTCACAGTAAAGCTTCCACTCCAAGAGATCCAAAAAATCTCCACACCAAAAACTCAATTCTCTCTCATGTTCACTTGCTAGCACTTTAATGTACTGTAACAGCACCCCTTCAAAAGCAAAACGAATAGACATTAGTTTTGGGAACACAGGCAACCAAGAAGTCATGTCACGTCCCCTGCTCCTCTATCTCCAGCTTACGCCAGTCTACCCGTGACCATTTGCTAGGCTCTCAGCTTTTTTGATAAAATTGTTTTCAGAGCTAAAATGTGTGAATTGACTGCTGGAATAAACATACTCCCCAAGAGAAAAAAGTTAACTTGGACCATTCCAGTAATCCCTTTGAATCTACAGCTCCTCAAAGTACAACTTCAGAGGCAGCGCCCTGTGAGACATCATCAGACCAATAGGTAGATGCAGGCCCCTCACAGACCGGCTGCATTACTCAAGCGCACAACCCTTCAGACACTACTAAATAGAAGTGCTCTCTGACACTTGGCAAGATACCTTGAAGTATTCTGAATGCTTGCCATACACGTACATTTATATACAACACAGGAAAGTCTAGAATACTTTTGTTTTGAGTTTGCCAAGTTCAGATCACTAATGTTAATTTGCAGTCCCAGAAGCATGTTTGGTGGCAGCTACAGTTGAAACAGTTTCCATCCCTTTCCTTGCCACCAGTTCCTTTCCATGTCACCCCACACTACAATTCCACAGTACTCTGTGCTGAATGTGACAACTCAACTGGAGATCCAAGTACATTGGAAAAAGAAAAAAAACCCACTGCAGTCATGCAGTTGTACTGGCACAGCACACAGTTGAACTAACTGGCTGACAAGGAAGAGCAGCATGGGCTGCTTATCACTGTTACTGAACTCAGAAAGATGACAACCTTCACAGGGTTAGGGAGAAGCACAGCAGTACCTTCACGTGTCACCTGGCATACTACTCCCCATAAAGAACCTAAAGGCTTCAAGACCACCTCAAAGTAGTTAAGCTGCTGAATGCAGATGAACGCCTAGGAGATAACATACAGTTCTAACAATTATTTTCAGTGTGCAAAAGATACTATGAATAATTTGTTTGCTCACATGTATTGCCTGACCTGCCTTTTCCACAATTAGTACTGATACCACATACTTCAAAGTCCAATTCCTTCACAGCCTTTAGTATTTCTTCTGAGATTGAAGCACACAAGGAGGGACTAGAAACTCCATCGTATTTGGGTTGTTGAAGTCTGTTCTATGAAAAAAAAATTTTGGAAGATCTTAGTTTTCATCCTGGTGGTCTTTTGCAAAAAAATTTTTACAGTCATTTCCATTACAAAAAAAAATTAGAAGAACTAATGAGAATAGTCAGTATAGATGATGCTCTCAAACAGCAAAGGCTGCACTATTTTTACTCTAGAATGGTATCTATTTTTCAAAAGTGACAAACACATCCAGCCAATCTCCATTTAACAAACAGGAGTGTATTCTTCTCCATCATTTGGACTCGGTTCACTGGAAAAGAGTGCTACAAATACCTGTTCCAAATACCCAAGGCATGTCTTCCAGACAGCAGAATTACAAGTTAGTTTTAACTATTGAAGGTATCACAAATAGCTACTTATCATCTCAACACATTTTTCTCCTTCATTTTTGCTTAACATTCACATGTGGCAGTCAGACTGTCAAGGACACCAAGTATATTTTATGCAGGTCGTGATATTAGCAGAACTAATTGAAGGAGTAGAATTCTACAAATTCAGGGTCAGGATCTTCAGATAACTGGATATTTTGCACATTAGGGTACTTTGAACTGTGCTATAGCTCAATTTGATTTAGAAATGGTTAAGAGTTTAAGAAGCTTCAGCTCCACCTCAGCACATGCTCAGTGGCGATCTTACAGAGGGCCTTTTGCACTTTGCAGAATGCAGCACATTCACATTACATTTGTGTGCCAGAACTCAAAGTCTGCAAGGATTTATGCATAAATTTAAGTTTATGCAACTTATACTGTTCCATTAACATAATCTTTGCAAGACAACCTACTTTTGCAATAAAATTAGACAATTAATTTAAAAAAATACTATACCATTAGTATCGCTTGAGCTTTGTCTCTTACTAAACAATCCCGAAATTTATTACGTGACTCCAGTCTGTATGTATTAGCATATCTTATCTTCGCCTTATTAGCTTTCGGTGTCAATAGCTTAGCTTTCTTTGAATCACTAAAACACTCTTCTTCCACTGGAGCCATATCTAAAACTTCATAATTTGATTGCGTCCTTTTTCCTTTTGTCTGTGCAAAATAATAAAAAAGTCCACTTCACATCCCGATATTTTAGCATTTAACAGTGTCTAGATAATACGTTATGGTGTACAGTTAAGAGAAAAACCCCAATTAGTCTACAAATACGTTACGGAAAAAGAAAAGCTAGAAAATAGGTATCTTTTCTGCTGGCTGTTTTGACACTACCACTTTGACTGAAAAAAACAGAACAGTGGTTAAATTCCACTCAATTTTAATTTCTTTTCCACTGCAATCCAAATGAAGTTTGCATTTAAACTCAGTTGAGCAGACACACTATACTAGCACTCTGAATCCACTCAATTTTCCAAGTAAAAGAGCACTGATATTAACGTGTGCGAGACTCTAAACCAGAACTTCAAGCTTTTCATTCAAAGTCTACACAAAACCCAAAATATATGCTCAGTTCATTTAGTGTGTAATTTTACTTGTCCTCCTTCCTTGTGAAGCCACTAAACAAATGCCTTATGTATTAATGACTTAATTTGCTCATTAAAAAAAATAATGAAAGGAATAAATATGCTCCAATTTGCAAGCTTTGTAATTTTGCTTGGAACTTAAGAACAGAGTAGTACTTCTTTTTATTTGGCATCAGAACTCTGAAGATCCAAGTTTTCTCCCCATGCAGCTTGTGTAATACCATTCTCTTCAACACACATAATAAAGTTGGGCCGTCTATGAATGCAAGCAGCAATTCTGATGATGCACACAGATGTCACCTGCTGCCCTCCACTGCTAGCTTAAAACAGAACTGTAAAGTAACAACAAAGACAGAAAAGCACATGGAACCAATGAGATCATAACAAATGCTACAGTTTTCCATAACAGCTGTCTCCTAACTAATCACTTTCAAGTTTTGCTAACTTTTCAGTCCCTTGCTCCACTTCCTGACTACAACTAGAACTTAGGTGAGAGAAAATCATCACTTCCTTCTCAGAAGAACAGAAAAGAGCACAAAGGTGATATAACACCACAGTGCAACGATTACACTAAGAAGTATTAAAAAAAAAATCATATATTTATGGACAATATAAAAATATAGTCAGAATTATTTGAAAAGATGCACTACTCAGGGGCTCACAAATCTTTCAGAGGAGTTTGAGAGTAAGTGAAGCAATGCAGTTTCTTCTCTATGAAATCACTTACACTTTAGCCCTGCCAACACTATGGACATTACTTACATCTCTCCTTTGGTTCCTTACTGTTAGATAATTCTGTTAAAAAACAGTGATATTGGCAGTCCTAGTGCAAATTGGCCAAAGTTGTTTTGTTGATACCATGCCAACAATGCAAACTCTGAATAATACTTACACCACACTAAAAATGCAAGGAGCAAACACATTTGCATCTAGGCTGTGGACACTCATCATCTTCTAACTGAAACTCAGATCTATAAAGACTATAGCCCCTACATGCTCATCACAGGTCTCCTAGCAGAATAAAAACCACCTTAAGGCTACCATCTGAGCTGCTCAAATGAGCATACCAATCCATGTCAGTGGAAATTAACCTGTGAAAAAGGTCACAATCCAAACAGCAATTCTTTGCTAACGTGGTTCAGGATGTCACAATACCTTCAGGCTGTACCATTAGATGGAAGAAAATTCATGTCTATTGCACACAACTTCTAATATTGCTGTTAATAGCAGTTAAACTTGTGTTAGTGACTGAAGTTTTCATAATCATTTCCTCATGTGCAAAAAGCCATTTAATAATGAGGCAACCAAAAATCTCACTGATATCTCTACACAAACGGTTAATAAACCAAGCAATTTCTGTATTTCACAATACAAATACCAAGATTCCAAGTTTTAGCACAATGTTGCGATTACATTTCTATTTACTTCCGTTGTTGTATTGGGCTTGCATGGCAAGGTTTTGGTAGTGGGGGGGCTACAGGGGGCGGCAAGAAGCTGCCAGAAGCTTCCCCGGTGCCTGATAGAGCCAACGCCAGCCGGCTCCAAGACAGACCTGCTGCTGGCCAAGGCTGAGCCCATCAGCAACAGTGGTAGCACCTCTGGGATAACATAGTTAAGAAGAGGAAAAGTTGCCGTGCAACAATTGCAGCCAGACAGAGGAGTAGTATGAGAGAGGAACAACTCTGCAGACACCAAGGTCAGTGCAGGAGGGGGAGGAGGTGCTCCAGGTACCAAGAGCACAGATTCCCCTGCAGCCCTTGGTGAGACAATGGCAAGGCAGGCTGTCCCCCTGCAGCCCACGGATGATGATGGGGAGCAGATATCCACCTGCAGCCTGTGGAAGCCCCCAAGCAGGAGGAAGTGGAGGCACCTGAAAGAGGCTGTGACCCTGTGGGAAGCTCACACTGGAGCAGGCTCCTGGCAGGACCTGTGGCCCTATGGAGAGAGGAGCCCACGCTGGAGCAGTATGTTCCTGAAGGACTTGTGACCCTGTGGGGGACCCACACTGGAACAGTTCATGGAGAACTGCAGCCTGTGGGAAGGACTCGTGTTGGAGAAGTTCATGGAGGACTGTCTCCTGTGAGAGTGACCCACGCTGGAACAGGGTAAGATTGTGAGTCATCCTCCCCCTGAAGAGGAAGAAGTGGCACAGACGTGCAATGAACTGACCGTAACCCCCATTCCCTGTCCCCCTGTGCTACTGAGGGGCGGAGGGAAAGAAATCAGGAGTGAAGTTGAGCCCAGGAAGAAGGGAGGGGTGGGGGGAGGTATTTTTAAGATTTGGTTTTATTTCTCATTATCCTACTCCGATTTGATTGGCAATAAATAAAACTAATTTCCCCAAGTTGAGTCTGTTTTGCTCATGATGATAATTGGTGAATGATCTCTCGCTGTCCTTATGTCAACCCACAAGCCTTCTGTTTTATTTTCTCGCCCCTGTCCAACTGAGGAGGGGAGCGATAGAACAGCTTTGGTGGGCACCTGGCCTCATCTCACCACAGTTGTGAAAGAATCTCTCAAAAATTCAAGAACCAACTTTGCACTTGACTATAAGAAAACCCTATTCTTACATTACTGGACTTTACTACATTGGTTTAACCTCAGACATGTGGAAGTAAGTATGCTGAGAAAAGAAAGCTTTTGCTATCTGAAAGAAATGCCATTTATTAATAAGTCTGTTTTAATAACCAATAGTTGCTTTAAAGAAACAGTTCTTGTTTGTTTCTTCAAAAGATGGCACACCTTCTAACTTAGGAGACTTACCGTAGCACCCCAAGTTGGAAAGAGAGCACCACCCCAGCCTTCTTTTTACCTTCACAAGGCTTTCACAACTCTGCCTCCCAATGCAGAAGGCAGCACACCTGCTGCAAGGTGGATTGGGAACACGACATCCAGACAAGTAGAAAGGGGACAAGCTATCCCAAACCAGATGTAAAACAGATAGGAATAGTTAAAGAGAAAAGCATTTCTGATACAGGTTTTCACGAGACCACACTCACCTTTTAATCACACACCCAGCCCCAAGTTCTTCCACAGACAGTACCATCCTTCCCAAGGACCCAAGCCTCGCCCCATCGCTCGCCAGGGGAAGAGCTGCAGTGCCGGGCCGGTGCCCCCGCCCCAGGCGAGCACCACGGCG